ATCCTCCCTCAGTATGCGTGAGTATTGACGGGAGCAACAGGTCTTCCACTTATTAGAGGAAGGTTTGTTTGCTGTGCGTCCACTTCCATCTGAGCTGTTTCTTTACTCCCTGTAGTCAACTGCATGCGCAGTAAATCGACGCGTCGTCGTGTGTGTGTGTGTGTGTGTGTGTGTGTGTGTGTGTGTGTGTGTGTGTGTGTGTGTGTGTGTGTGTGTGTGTGTGTGTGTGTGTGTGTGTGTGTGTGTGTGTGTGTGTGTGTGTGTGTGTGTGTGTGTGTGTGTGTGTGTGTGTGTAAACCTCTCATAACTTTTGAACGATTTGACCGATTTGATCGCGGTTAGTGCCATTCGAAAGGGTTCGACTAAACTTAGATTTTAAATCCAAGTTGGACCGATTCGGACGGATAGATTTTGAGCAATCTTAAAAAAACTGCGAAAAAAAATTTTTTCAAATGTGGTTTTTTTGGAATAACTTTTAAACGGCTTTACCGATCAATTTCAAAAACTAATCAGCTCTTAACATCAAAAAACCATGTCGGTCGCCGCCAGTCCGGTCAAAATCGGTTGATTCGTTCGTGAGTTATCGTTGACGAAAGAAAACCGAAGAAGTGTTTTTTTGGAATTACTCCGAAATTATTCGTTTTATCAATTTAAACTTGAATATTCTTCATGAAGCTTAAAAAACTGCGTCGAATGCCTCCAACCGCGTGAAAATCGGTTCATTCATTCAAAAGTTATTGCGATTTGAAAATTCAATAAATAGTGTTTTATCAAACCTCTATCAAACTTTTGAGCTCGAAGAGCTCCAAAGCATACAAAAGCAATTTTTTGAGCACGGAGAGCTCAAAATAACACACAAATTGTATTTATGAGCTCGAAGAGCTCAAAAACATCATAAGTGTAATTTCAAGCGTTTAGGTATAGAATTGGCGGGAAGTTGCAGGGATGGCCTTCAGGGTCAACCGTTTTCTTAATTTTTTTATTTTTAAATGAACAATTTTGCAAACTCTTAATAGACAGATTTTCGAAATTTTATTATTTTTTCATTTTTTCGTTACCGATTACAATGTTTCTCAAAGTAGAACTGATAAAACAAAAAAAAATTTTGTTTGAATTTTTCAACTTCTCTAAAAATGTTTAAATTGAGCAGCAAATCTTGCTTCTTTAATTTCACCGGCACACAAAAAAATTTAAGTAGAATGTGCATTTGACCGGACCTACCTATGGGTACGTATTTTGGTCCGCTGAATCCGAATTTGAGGTCAGTTTGACCCCTACACCCTCAAAATTTCGAGAAAACTTTGAAAAACCGTAAAAATGATGAAAATCGAAAGTTTTAATGATAAAAAAATTTTTTGGAACTAAACTAAGCGTGATTTCCATGTATTTCGATCTGCTGAATATGAATCGAAACTTTAGTAAGACCACGAGCCGTTTTAAATGTAAAAAAATCACACAAACCCTTCAAAATTCCGAAAAAAGTAATTTTTTTGGTTTTTTTACTCTCGTTTTTTACTTTTGAAGACTTAATTGCTTGTGCCTGTAATCAGGGCACCTCCACATGGTGACAGTGGGCAACAAAACCATCTGGCAGAGTCCCTGGGTTAACGGCGTGTGTGCCGTCATGGCAGGTACAAGTGATAAGTACTTAACGATGCAGGGAGTCGGAGCCCCAGTATTGGCGTCTGGTCAGGGTGAGAAAGCAGGCTCGCAAGCGTCGTCATCAAGCGACTGCAGCTCTTCAGAAGTGGGAAACTTGGCCACTGGACAGTAAACTATTACAAGAAGTAATTCTCATCTGTGTAATAAAAGTCCTGATTAATTTTGTTACATTTGTGGAGAATACAATTTGGAAAGGAATCGAAGATCGTTATCTGATAAGATCTAACAAATTTATGAAGAATGTTTTGGTCTCCAAATTACTAATTTGGATTCAGCATGGGTTCCACATACGATTCGTAGCCGATGTAACATGATGTTAATCCGGTGGGAAAAAAACAAGAAACAGGACAACTTGAAATTCACAATACCAATGATATGGTCTTCACCAACTGGTTTACAGAATTGTTATTTCTGTAGGACAGATACTTCCGGGTTCACCTGGAATACAAAAAAGAAAATTGTATACGCCAATGTTTCATCATAGAAGTTGTCAAGGAAGTTAATACGGTTGAAGAAATGGATATAGAAGAAGACGATACGCTAGTTGAAGAAAGTTCGGAAGAAGAAAATTCAGAAGATGAAGAGTACTTACCTGGCGGAAAAACAAAAGACCCTGAAACGTTTAACCGAGAAGATCTTAACGATCTGGTTCGAGACTTGGCTTTACCGAAAGAAGGAGCTGAATTGCTTGCGTCAAGGTTGAAAGAAAAACATTTGTTGGCTAAATGTGTATCGGTGACATTCTATCGAACTAGGGAAAAAAAATTCCGGAAATTTTTTATGAACGACGATCAAAATTCGGTGGTATACTGTTCAGATGTTAAAGCTTTGGTTGATGAATTGAAACCGAACACGTATATAAGGATGATGAGTGGAGACTTTTTATCGATTCATCGAAACGAAGTCTTAAAGCTGTTTTGCTTCATATTGGGAATGAATTTGCGCCGATTCCAATAGCTCATTCGACAAAACTGAAAGAAACTTATGAAAATTTACAGATTGTATTGGGAAAAATAAAATATTCAGAGCATAACTGGAAAATTTGTGGAGATCTCAAAATCGCAACACTTCTTTTAGGTCAGCAATCGGGATTCACCAAATATCCTTGCTATTTATGTTTGTTTGATAGCAGAGACCGGAAAAATCACTATGTCAAAAAAGAATGGCCATCAAGATCTGCATTGAATCCAGGTTCCCATAACGTTATACGACCACCCTTAATTCAGCCTTCCAAATATTTGCTGCCACCACTACATATCAAGTTGGGACTCATAAAACAGTACGTGAAAGCTCTGAATAAAGATGGTGATTGTTTTGCGTACTTGACAGGAAAGTTCCCTGCAATAAGTGATGCGAAATTGAAAGAGGGAATTTTTGATGGACCCCAAATACGATCTTTATTTCAGGATGCAAATTTTGAAGAAACAATGAACGACACAGAAAAAGCAGCTTGGGTAAGCTTCAAAAATGTGTCACAAAACTTTATGGGAAATAACAGAAGTGAGGATTACAGCACTTTAGTTGACGCATTGCTGGAAAACTACAAAAATTTGGGTTGTTTAATGAATCTCAAATTACACTTTTTAGATTCTCATCTTGACCACTTCCCTGACAATTGTGGAGACTATAGTGAAGAACAGGGAGAACGTTTTCACCAAGACATCAGTGAAATGGAGAGTAGATACCAAGGAAATTGGAGTGTTAACATGATGGCAGATTTTTGTTGGATGTTAAAAAGAGAAGTACCCGAAGAAAATCGTAAACGAAAGAGGAATCCACTACGAAGATCATTTGAGGATAAAAGAGAGCGATACAAACGAAGGAAAGTTTAGGATTCGTAAAAATCATTTCTTTCTATCTTTTTATGTCTTGTGTATTTCACAGATTTCAAGTTATTTGATATATCTACGTTATAGAGTATTTATTTTAGGCATTAAATCATGTTCAATCAATTTTTTTTCTGTTATGAATGGTAATTTTTACAATTTTTTCGAATTTTTCCAGCTTTAGAGGGTGAATAGACTAAAAAAATTAAGATGCGAATTGAAGACATCAAAAGATATAAAATTTTATCTGAATTGGACCAAAAGAAGTTTTTTTGTCATGAAAACTATATTTTTTGCGGAATTTTAGAGGGTTTGTGTGATTTTTTTACATTTAAAATGGCTCGTGGTCTCAATAAAGTTTCGATTCATATTCAGCGGATCGAAATACTTGAAAATCACGCTTAGTTTAGTTCCAAAAAATTTTTTATCATTAAAACTGCCGATTTTCATCATTTTTACGGTTTTTCGAAGTTTTCTTGAAATTTTGGGGGTGTAGGGGTCAAACTGACCTTGAATTCGGATTCAGCGGACCAAAATACGTACCCGTAGGTAGGTCCGGTCAAATGCACATTCTACTTAAATTTTTTTGTGTGCCGGTGTTTTTATCGAAACTTCAAATAACCTTAGGGGTACATTAAGATAAAAAAATTCCTGAAAGCCTGATGGGATTTCTCATTAACTTCTTTCCAATGTAATTTCTTTAGAAAATTTATTCCAGTTTCCGAAACTCCCTCTTAATTTCTTGTGCAATCACTAGTTGTTGAGACATCAGTATTTGAAGACAAAAGGGTCTTTTTCTGTCAGTTGCGGATATCGTCGCCGAAAATGGACGTAGCAAGAAACCAAAAAAAAACGAAAATTAATGCTGAATAAACAAGCTATCTGATCTATATAATTGTTGAATTGTACACTGATAGAAATTTTAACTTGACTCAAGAGCAAAAATCTTGAACCAAGAACACCAATTGGAAGAAAATGAATTTCTTGAGCCAAGAGGAAAAATTCTTGGGTCAAGATATATTTTCTTGAATTAAGAAAATATATCTTGACCCAAGAATTTTTCCTTTTGGCTCAAGAAATTCATTTTCTTCCAATTGGTGTTCTTGGTTCAAGATTTTTGCTCTTGAGTCAAGTTAAAATTTTTATCAGTGTAAGTATTTTTTCCGAGCCCGTGAAACAAGAAAAATGTGTGTAAGAATTTTGAAGTTTTTTTTTTGCGTTCTCTCTCCAGATTACGTTTAAATCGAGACTCCAAAACATTAGTTAGACCAAAAATCAGAGAACTAAAATCTTGTAGCTACAAAATCTTTTTTTTTTTAAGTCTCTATAACAATTTTTAACTGAGACACAGCTTGTCAAAAATCCCCGACAAACTTGGAAATTTTAGTTGTGCCCTTAATTTTTGCGAGAAGCGTAATTTAGTTCATTATTATTCCCTAATTCGAATAATAAATCGTGTTTAATTTGACCCCGTAACGAAATAAAAATTACTTAATTCAACAAGTGTAAGCATTAATGAGTATAATTAGGTACATTGATGATAATACTTCTCATGCATAAATTATTAGAAACAGCGATAAATTCATTATTGCATTGACAGCGAAAATTTACGCAAGAAGTATTGTTAACCGTGCATTGACTATCCTTCCAACAAGAGCCTTTTAAACCCGGAGAACATGTTGATCTATTTATTGAATAATTATAACGGTTGCAACGACATTTCTTATCTTTATCACAAATATAATGCCAAGGATCACCGCAATCTAATACTTTATCACACGAGTACAAAAATTTATCTGAAATTATCATCAATTATTGTTTATTGTTTATTTTTCAATGTATTTGTGTTTATTCGTAATTTAGCTTGGAGGGGGCCTGGTACTGCGAAGTAATGCTAACGCGGTCCCGCAGTATCAGGTACAAGAGAGGGGAGGGTTTTAGTGAGTAAGAATCTCACACTACCGGCAACCAACATCTCCAACATCTAGCCGGTGTCTTATGAAGATTTCCCTCCTCTCGCCCAAAAAAAAAAAAAAAAAAAAAAAAAAAAAAGAGAACATTGGCATGCATTATTGACACAAACCGTGCTATAAGAAAAACATTCTTCGTTGGAATCACAGTATTCGCCTGTAATACCTAGACATTTTTTATTGCCGAGGGGAATATAATTCGGTTTACACCTACAATAATCATCAGCAGAACAAACGGTATATTTTATGTTATTACAATTATCGTCTCGAATACATGATATTAGAAAAAAACTCGAATCAGCTAATAGAAAAATAATCGTAATTGAATTAATGGACTGATAAACATAACAAATAAAGAAAAATAGGAGGATACTTACGATCAACAAGTAAACAATGTGTATTATAACTCCGATAACCTGATTGACATTGACACACATTATCTATACACTGAGAATTCGACATAGCACATTGTTCATTTGGTTTGCAATGTTGACCTAACAAGGGTGCACAAGTTGTCTCATTAAGCATTTTATGGGTACTTTTGCAAATACAAATATTGACATCACTCCGACACTTTGAATTTAATATATAACTACAGTCATTATCGTTGTCACAACGCATTCGTATGTAGTCTACATAAATACAGAAATTAAAAAATTAATTAATGGTGGTCTTGATTTTAAATAGTGTTCAATGGTCAGTATTATAATGTATAATAAGCTTACGAGGTAGACATTTATCTGTAGAATATTCTGAAAATCCATCATCACATTTACATCTATCATCTTTACAACTGGAATGAAGTGGAGCGCAAATTCGATTTTTCAAACAAGATTCTCTCAGAAGTGGGGCACATGCGCTAGTATTGTATTCTTTAAAATTTACTTGGCACTCACATTTTCCATTGCCAGAACATATACTGTTTAATATTTCTTTACAATCAGAATTATCTTTACATGGGATTCCTAATTGAGCTGTAAATAAAATATAAAAAATTATATTAAAGTCATTCTTTATTGATACTATTCAATATTTTTAACTTTCCGATATAAAAATCAATATTTTTCAAAAAATCGGAAATTTATCGATTTCACCCCGGTTGATGAAAATCGAGTTCTCACCAGATCATCACATTTTAAGAAAACAGAAACAACTTTGTACATATATATATATATACACTTTTCGCAAAAATTAAGGGAACAAAAAAATTTTTGAAATTTTTTGGCGATTTTCAACAGGCTGTATTTTAGTGAAAAATGGTCATACAGGAAATACAAAAACAAAGCTTTTGAAGCTTGAAGACTCTAGTTTTCAGATTTTTTGCTTAAATATTTTTCGGAGCACTGGTAGAAGAGTAGTAGCTCGACGAGCTCAAAAACGTAATAAGTGCAATTTTGAGCGCTTAATTACGAAAGTAGCGGGAAGTTGCAGGGATGGCCCTCAGGGTCAACCGTTTTCCTAATTTTTTTTTTTATTTTTTATTTTTGAATGAACTTTTCAAAAAAATACACAAAAAAAATTAAATATGATCAATTTTATAAAATAATCGGTTTTTTTTAACAAAATCGTTATTTTTTCAAAGTTGGCCACTTTTTTTTTTATTTTTTTTTCTCAAAAAAAACTTCAATCAATTTGACAACTATTCCCGGTCATCCCGGGCAGGGCCGATTTTTTTTTATATTTTTTTTATTAACTTTCTTTCTTCTATCTCTTGCTATTTGCTCTTCTTCTTTCGGTGGAATGCAAGTCTTTGAGGACTTCTGTTGCAAACGTGTTGGTAGCGTTCCAGTCAGCTTCTGACGACAACATTGCTTCCACTAGTGAATCGGGTTGCATTCTCTGGTTCAGGATCCTCTCCAACTCTTCACGCTGTGGATCGAAACGAGGGGATACAAAGAAGACGTACTCCGCATCTTCAGCAACTCCTGGGCAGGACGGACACTCCGAAGAGTCATCGTGCTTAAAGCGGTATAGATACTCTCGAAAACACTCGTGTCCTGACAATATCTGCGTAAGATAGTTATTGACCTCGCCGTGATTCCGGTTGAGCCAAATGTCGATCTGAGGTATGAGACGGTGCGTCCACCTACTCTTCTCTGCAGCGTCCCATTGTAGTTGCCATTGGCCTATGCTCTTCTGCTGTTCTTCAATTCTAAGTTCTTCAGGGCTCAGTGCAGTTGACCTTTTTCATTGGTATTGGGCCCGTCTTTCCTCTGCTAGAACTCTAAGAGGTAGGGTTCCAGCAATGACGCACACTGCTTCTTCTGATATAGTGCGGAAGGCACTAGCTACTCGTAGGGCACTCAGTCGATATACTGGTCCAGCTTTTCCCCATGATTCTTGGGTTTCCAGTGCATCAGCCCAAATGGATATTCCGTAAGTGTGCACTGATGTGACGGGTGAGCACTTGAAGTTGAGTCGGGCATCCAGCAGCACTCTCAGATAACGGATAAATGGTTGTGATGTGATTTCTTGTTCTCCGACTCTCAACTTGATAGTTTCTATCGTTTTTCTACTGGTGACTTCAGTACATATTGCATTTGAAATCCTAATACTAGATATTGTGCCATTTGAACAAGTACCATTTTCACAAACTAAAATAAGAAAAAATTTTCTTAAAAAATGTTATCGGTTTATACCTACTGAAAATTGAATTTTTAACTTCTCGCTCAGAAAATCAATGATTTTCGAAAAATCGGGAAGTTATTGGTTTTACCCCGTTTTGTAAAAATCGAGATTTTAACAGATGTCGACGTGTTGAAGCCCTAAGAACCTTTCCTGACTATTTTTACGTTGATGTTCATTATATACATAGACATAAATAAATTCATTTACCTGATATACATCCGAGTTTAAGATCATATTTGTTATTTACTTTGTTGCATTGGCATTTATTATAAAGACAGATTGAATATGGTATCATACATTCATCAGTTTCCCAACAAAACCCTCCAAAAACTGGTAAGCAAAGCGTTGGATTAACCGCAGTAGTATTGGATGTACAAGAACATACTTTGTTCTCAGAACATTTTGCAAACTTTACCTGATTACATGCATCATCGTTTTTGCAATGAGTACCCAAAATATCTATAAAACATTATAGAATCATTATTGAATCAATCGATAATTACTTTTAAAAATTAACGAATTATACTTACTGCGTACGCATTGATTGTTGAGCCTCAGAGAATAACCATTCTATTCATATACATTTACATTCATTGTTAATACAAACAGCATTATCAGCAGCACATGATTCATTCTTCCAACAAAATCCACCTAAAATCGGTCCGTAGGTCCATGGATCTACTCTTACTGTTGTCATTCGACAAATACACTTACCATCTTTTGAACATTTTGCGTGTTTTATTTCATCGCAGTCCTCATCTAACTCACATAATTTCCCAAGTCCGTCTACGAGGGCAAATAATTTACTTTGTTAAACTTATTATCTTTGAGTACCTTATTCTAATAGGCGTTTGTTTGGAATATAATTTTATGTTTACCCAAGATAATATCCCCGACACATCGAAATAAATTGTTTGGCCATGTTTGCTGGCACTGATCTATTTGATTACAACATGGACGTGGCAGATCGGGATTACACTGTTCAACAATATGGCAAAACAACAATTCAAATAAAATGAATGATATAATTGAATACTTACAAGGGTATGCTTGAAAGCACATCGAATGTCAAAACTAGTATCGTTAGAAAAACAGCTATTAAAAGTAAGTATGATGATAAACGATACTATACATGAATTATCTTCAAGCATTTTTATGCTATTTGAAAAAAAAAAATTGATCACAATACCGAAAACTATTGATTTGATCCAACTAGTCGAATCTACGCACAATAAGCGAAGTAGAATAAAAGTAATTATATTTTATGGCAGCTAGTAATTAAGTTATTGAGTGTTCTTTTTTATTTGTCAGTAATTAAAGTTTTATATATAAACTATTTTATTTATAATATATTACTGAATATTGTAACACATATCTTCAATTTGAACTTTTTACTGTAGAAATTTGTAATTTGAAAAAATTAGGAACTTATTGATTGCGACCCGATCTTTAAACGGTGGGTTCTTATTACTTCGCAATGTTTTGAAGTTCTAAGAAGCTATTCTGCCTATTTTTATGATGATACTCAAATATCTATGAGGGTGTGTGTGTGGATAATTTTATCATAAAAATACAGATTATATTCTAGTAGACACTTTTTGCACATTTAATAGTGTATTCATACTTAACACATTTCATGTGTGGTACTTTCAGACATGGAATAGTAACTTTAAAATATGCAAATGTGTAAGGGGCCATTCATTAATTACGTAAGGGTATTGAGGGGGAGGGGGGGGGTTAAGAAAATCTCTACAAGTTCTTACGTTTGGGAGAGGGGAGGTAAAATTCATTCTTACGTAATATTTCGTGAATCAAAATTCAAGATTAAAAATCTTTCCATTTCGGATTCTAAATTGTTTTCTTAATTTTAAAGTGTACAGTCAAATTTTTATTTTATTTAAATAATTTTTGTTGCTTATTGAAAAAAGTAAAAAATAACTTATTAAAATTTTATATGTTTTTATTGTTATCCATGTTTGGTTTTATAGAAAAAATTATAGTACATTTTTCCGCGTATTATCATATTTTTATTATTTAAAAAATAAAAAAACATTTTCTCAAGTCAATTTTTTTATCAGTGTACCAATTGTCTCTGATTGGATGACATGGATTAAAAGTCCGTTTAGTCCGGATGAAGATTAATAATTTTAATTGATCTAGCTTTAACTATTTAATTTATGTTTTTGAGACTAATTTAAAACTAGTCAAATATTATTTTATGAACAATGTTATGAGTTTGTAGTTTTACTGATTTATCTTTGCTAATATTATTTAAATTATTCCTTGTTAAAAAAATAAAAATTATGGATTCACGTTGAACTGTAAGTTTTAGTGAAACTGATCCTTTCCTAACATAAAAGTTTATTATTTAGAAGATCAAGACAGAATCTTACGTAAGAAAGGGGAAGAGGGGGTTCGAGAAATCTTACGTATACTTACATGGGGGTAGGGGGGGGGGGGTCAAAATTGACCAAAATTGTCCTTACGTAATTAATGAATGGCCCCTAATTCATAAATGCGTAAATGCATTAACTTTGAAAAATGTTGAAAAATGTTCCAAAATTGTCCTAAAAATGATCTAAAATATGTTCTCACATTATTCAAAAAATGTTCTACAAAAGACTTCAAGGACCTAATTTTAACTAAATTGTTTGAAATAGACGAAAATTGTCTATTAAGCGTTCCTTAAATGTCCAAAAAAATATTTAAAAATGCTTTAAATTCATGAAAAAATACCTAAAATGCACTGTTTGAGAATTTCCGATTATTTATAAGAGTCCCAAAAATAACCCTTATTGTATCACGTTTCGATGTACATTCTTGTCACATTTGTTAGACATTTTTGGAACAATTTTTTGTTTCACAGGTAAAGCACTCTCTAATGTCTCGCATTATGAGTGTGCAAAGACAAGATATATGTATAGATATAAAAATGTAGAACATAATGAATAATTTCTTTGTTTTGAAATAATTTTTGCGATTTATAATGTTAATTCAATTGATATTACAATCGATGTAATTTCAGAAGTTTTGATTAGACTAAAGTCATTTTCTAACTTTTTTATTTCCCAAAAAAAGGACTATTGTTGCCGTAGAGATAAACTGATGAGCACTCCCTCGAATCAGAGTCACATAAATAACCAAAGCAACATTGACCCTGGCCATAAGGATCGCACTAAAAAATGAACAAGAATATAAATAAGTGATTTTTTTAAATAATTTTTTAAAATTAGACTATTTACTTACTGGTTCTCCACTGCATGCTTGAATTGTGTTGGTACAGATTGATACTATGAAGATAATTGATAATATCAAAACTTTAAATGACATTTTTTTTTTATCAAACCTGAGGAAAAAAAAATTGCAAATTAGCATTATGTCAATAATTTAATGAATTAATAAATTCTCTGCAAAATTTCTGGTGTTACTTACTCAATTGAAGATTTAATATTAAGCGTAGATACTCTTTTAATGATCAATAAATACTGACAGTCGGGCAATGGATTTATATCTAATTTATACTAAATCGAAACTTTGTTATTTTTCCTGTACAAACTGCTCAGTATATATTCTATTGAGGAAATAGAATCATATATACACGATCAATCGATAACCTTGCTACAAGAGTTCACGACTACGTATGATCAAAAGGTTAACAAAAATAAGGAAAACATAGAAGGAAAAAGACCATTCGGCAGTCGAAATGGAAGTAGATTTTTTTTTATCATGAGTAGTTCTGCAGTTATTCCCGAAAACACTTCAAAAATCATGAATTTATGATTACATTTGCTATAACGGTTCCATTTTTTTAAATTTACTTGAATTCGACGTTCTATCGTCGACCTATAGAACGTAAAAAATTATTAAAAAAATCAAAGTATTTTCGGAAACGAATGCAATAGCAAATTTCATAAAATGATATTGACCTGATGAGGCAATTTTAGGTCTAAATATACATTCGGATATCGAAATTGAAGCTTATTTAAAGAGTTTTCAGATTCAATTATCAGAATCTGATAAAATATCGCATTCAAAAGTTATCCAAGGAAGAAAGAACAAAAATATGAATTTTTAGGATTTTGAAAATTTTGACATCCTGCCATGCGTAAACTTTTTGGCCAATTAAGCTCATCTTTGGTATGATATGACCTTGGTATTTATCGATATTTGAAGCATGTTGAGTTTGGAAAAGATCGATCATAAAATGAAAACGCTATCGTCATGACAAGCCACGTTCTATCGTTATATATATATATGTATATACATTCATACATAAACTTTTGAACCATATGTATTTTCTGAATCAGGTCGACATAGTGAGTGATGCGAAATTAGCAAAATTTTTCAGATGTTCCGTCATGAGGACCAATGCAGTAGTTAGATTTCTATGAAATCCACTAAAAAATCGATATGTGACCATTTATACTCTAATCTGTCAAATGATTTATACATATAATAGTATATGGTCATATATAAAGAAAATTCTCCATTTTTTTATCAATACAAAGTTTCATTTAAAATCATATCTGATTCATACATGATCATATATAATTGTTCATGTATGATAAATGAAGAAAAAAATACCCTTTTTCATCAGCGTAAAAATTTCATAAACGATTGTATATGAAAAATATACATTATTTCGTCGGTATTTTTTATCTAAGAATATATTCTATCAAAACTATTCCGAAGATTATCGTTATCCTCAACATTGCAATCTTCACAGTACACATCAGATTTATATGCAACGAGCATACAGACATTTTTTGAAGTTAACTTTATATACTGATGTCATTATAACTATCTTCACGAAAGTATTACGCGTTAAGTATTATCTTCCATCTTTTGAAAGTACGCTCATCTGATTCTTGGTTAACTAAATCATTAGAACCTAATTTCTTGGTTATTATACTCAGTATTGCACTGTAAAAAAAACCGGGGTAAGTCCAAAGCGGTGTAGGTGTTAAAATTTGCGGTGTTAAATTCCAACACCGAAAGCGGTGTTAAAACAACACCGCTGCCGGTGTAAATATTTTTTTCCGGTGTTAAAGCGGTGTTATCCCAGGTAGGGTTTACCAATGCTGACAAATGGCCCAGCCTTGGACCATTTGTTACTTTGCCAAGCCTTAGTAAGTTACCAGTGGCCCAAGCCTAGCCCGAGGCTTGGCCCAATAGTTCGACATTCTCAAGCCGAGCCTTGGGGTGCTCCACTGGCCTAAGCCTGACCCGAGGCTTGGCCCAATGGTTCAATATTTTGGAACCAAGTCTTGGGAGATCACGACTGGCCGAGGCCTGGTCCGATGCTTGGCCCAATGTCTCGATACATTTCAACCAAGCCTTGAAAAATCACCACGGACTTAAACCCGATTCGATACTTGGCCCAACAATGCTTCGAACACTGATAGAAGAATTTAATAGAATTTAATAAATGACTTGTCAACAAAAAAATTTTAATAAATATAGTTATTAATCGTTGACAAATTATTTTTAAACATCATTTCTTTGTGGCTAAAAAATGTATAAAACTCTAGAAACTGCTCAAAAAATATTCAAAAATATTTTCCATGTGACTAAAAAATGATAAATTTAATACTGATACATATTGTGAACATTTTAAAAATGTTTATTTCTCTCCAAAAAAAATGTTTATTTCTCTCTCTCATATATTTATTTTTGGTAATAGAAAATTTAATTATTTCGTTAAAATCAAATGAATTAAAAAAAATACATTTCATAACTGTATTCTGTCAACAAATTATATTATATGAACTATACAAAATTTTTAGCAGTTATAAGTTTAATTTTAATTATGGAATATCATGTAATAAAGCAAAATGACTGACTGGTGTTTAAGTAACTAAAACTAATCTAATAGTGTTACTACCACGTGCAGCGAAGTCAGTACAGTTTGAGACTTTCACGCGGGTAATCCAGGTTCGATTCCCATCGTTAGCAAAAATTTTTTCTACAATCTGGTGTTATCGCGAGAGATACGATAACGTAAAGCTGATAATAAACCGTAAAATCACGAATACAATTAAAATCAAATTTGATTTTTTAATAATGATTGCATTTTTTTTAATCCTGGCAAATTAGTTCCCCAAGGCTTGGTCCGAGCCCTGGGCCATTTGTTTCTTAAGACTCGGCCCAAGCCTTGTATTTTGGTTCCCCTAGGCTTGGCCCGAGCCTTGTGTTTTGGTTTCTCAAGGCTTGGGGACATAGTTATCATCCTAGGCTTGGGCCGAGCCTTGGCCCAATGTTTAGCCAAGGCTCGTGCCAAGCCTTATCCAAGGCTGGTGACGCTTGGCCCAGGCTTGGTCCAAGCCTTGTCCAGCTGCTCTTTCCTACCTGGGATAAAATATTTTTTGATGTTGCAGATATTTCACTCTGTGAATACTTTTATTTACTAAATTACTACTATTGGGCAGTATGTTCATTAATTCATAAAACTATTACTTATTGAAATGGTAGGTGTAAAATTGTATAATTTTTAAACAAAGTCTGTATTACATAGGTAAAAATTTAAATAACTACAAACCGAAATTAAAATTTGTTCTGTATGATACTCATAGAATTTTTATATTTTTTTATGTCATACATTTTTTGCTTAACTTTTATAGGCACAATTTTGTTTATTTTAGTAAAAATCATAAAAATTACACCGGCCCACAAAAAAAAAGTGGTCTGTACTTTTGACCGGACCTACCTCTTTATGTGTTTTGACGTGCTGAATCCTAATCTGAAATCAGCTTTGCCCAGACACCCTCAAAATTATGAGTAAAATGCGAAAAACCCCCAAAAAAGGCAAAAAATTACGAAAAACTGCAGTCATCGTTCTCTTCATTCTACTTATGCTTCATTTTTTATAGATTTTAAAATTTTGTGAATATTTCAATTCTAAGATTATATTTCATCCATTAAGATGCAGCTGAATCATTAACAATCGTGATTAATAGATTTTATCTCATATTTAAAACTGCAATTTTTTTTATTTTTTGAGATTTTTTTTTAATTTTAAAACGTCAATAGGACAAGAAAACTTCAGATTCAAATTCAGTGGAACAAAGTACATAAAAATCATACTCAATCTGAATCCAAAAAATTTTTTTCATCTCGATAATTTCGATTTTTCATGATTTCTTGCCTTTTTTCGGTTTTTTACAATTTTTTCAAATTTTGACGGATCAAGGGACTACTTAACGTTTAGATTTAGGTTCAGTGAATTGACGTACATGAAAATCATACTTGATCTGGGTTTACAATTTTTTGCTTTTTTGGGGTTTTTTTTTTTTGCATTTTACTCATAATTTTGAGGGTGTATGGGCAAAACTGACTTCAGATTCGGATTTAGCGCGTCAAAATACTTATAGATAGGTCTGGTTAAAAGTACAGACCACTTTTTTTTTATGGGCCAGAGTAATGAATACTACTTTAATATATTTTCCATTTATTTTTTTAATTTAAAAACTAAATTTTATTGTGTTTTATAGATTTTATAATCTTGATATTTTAAATAGAATGATTACTCCTTTTTTACACTGGTATTACACCGTTTTACACCGGTATTTTAACACCGGAAAAGTTACGCCGGCGTTATTTTATTTTAACACCGCGCGGTGTTAAAATAAGTCCATTTTTAACACCGCTCTTTTTACAGTGTGTCAGCAGAGACAAATCATGGTTTTTGGAATAACTTCGACTTTCAAAGCTTCTTTTAAATTCTGCCACGAGTAATATTTATCTTTATTTACCTTATTTTTGCGAAGGGAACGCCCCACCGCGTTACTGCAAGTAAATCAAACGAAACAACTTATCTGTTACCATAACCATTCTCACTCAGGCGGCTATACAACATCAAATATCAAGTTGGATATTCTATCTTATCCATGTGTTAATGATAAAACAGAATATAAGCAGCGTCAATAAACCTGGAAAAAATAAAAAAAGTTAGACTGACATGTAACATCATTTCTTCATATTTTAGCCAGAATTTAGATGACATTTTATTTTATTTTATTACAAGAATATATTAATGCTTATTTTCTGGACCACTTTTGGCATCGTGTACACAAAATTGATAAATATAAAAATCTGATGCGAGCTATACGTCACAGAAAAATAAAATAAAATAAAACCTGCATGCATATGCAAGTTGTGATTTATCATCTGAAAGATGTATACCGTCAGATAACCCTACAAAGTACTGTATATTCAAAACTAAACGGTGAGGATGGCCCAGCAAAAATAGTGTGAGTTAGACTATAATCTAAGCATACATATATAAACAAAAGGGAGAACAGTTGATTGATTGTTATAAGTAGTGATGTAAAATAACTGTCAACTTTGATTTCGCTTAAATAGCAAGCATTTGCCTGTCAATTGACATCATTTTTTATTGATGAATCAATAAAATTTGGAAGCAATTTTTATATTTAAAAAAAATACACAAATAAAAGAAAACAAGAAAATTCGAATAAAAATACCGTGCATGGTTTTGCAGGTGATAAATGATCTGTTTATA